CCCCAAATACAGGTGTGCCAAGCTTCTAGCGTCAAAGCCAAGAAGACTCAAGGCTGTAATCACTGCCAAAGGTGCTTCAACAAAGTACTGAGTAAAGGGTCTGAATACTTATATAAATGTAATATTTCAGTTATTAGTTTTTTTATAATTTTGCAAACATTTCTAAAAACCTGTTTTTGCTTTGTCATTATGGGGTATTGTGTGTAGATTGATGAGGGAAAAAACTATTTAATCCATTTTAGAATAAGGCTGTAACCTAACAAAATATGGAAAAAGTTAAGGGGTCTGAATACTTTCCGAATTATATAGTATACGCACTGTACTGTTATACTATACTATAATATACTGTACTGGTATACTATACTATAATATACTGTACTGGTATACTATACTATAATATATTGTACTGGTATACTATACTGTACTGGTATACTATACTATACTGTTATACTATAAAGTATCCACTGGCCTCTCTCTCTCTCTATCTCCAAGACTCTCTCTCTCTTTTTCTCTCTCCCCCCCAGACTCCTCTCTCTCCCCCCCAGACCCCTCTCCCTCCCCCCAGACTCCTCTCTCTCCCAGACTCCTCTCTCTCCACCCCCAGACTCCTCTCTCTCCCCCAGAAACCCTCTCCCCCCCAGACTCCTCCTCCCCCGACTCCTCTCTCCCCCCCCAGACTCCTCTCTCTCCCCCCAGACTCCTCTCTCTCCCCCCCCAGACTCCTCTCTCTCACCCCCCGCAGACTCCTCTCTCTCCCCCCAGACTCCTCTCTCTCTCCCCCCAGACTCCTCTCCCCCCCAGACTCCTCTCTTCACCCCGCAGACTCCTCTCTCCCCCCCAGAGCTCCTCACGCCTCCCCCCACAGACCTCCTCTCCGCCTCGCTTCAGACTCCCTCGATCGCCCGCACCAAGACTCCCCTGCTCTCTCTCCGCTCCACGCCGAGATCCTCGCCTCCTACATGGCCTCTCCCCCCCAGAGACTCCTCTCCCCCCATACCTGCCTCTCTCTCCCCCCCTTACTTCTCTCTCTTCCACCCCTAGACTTCACTCCTCTTCTTTCCCCCCCGCAGACTCCTCTCCTCTCCCCCCCCCCCCCCCCAGACTCCGCTCTCCTCCCCCCCCCCCGCAGACTCCTCTCATCCCCCCCCAGACTCCTCTCTCTCTCCCCCCCGACTCCTCTCCCCCCCAGACTCCTCTCCCCCCAGACTCCTCTCTCTCCCCCCAGACTTCTCTCTCTCCCCCCCCGCCGACTCCTCTCTCTCTCCCCCCGAGACTCCTCTCTCTCTCCCCCCCCCAGACTCCTCTCCCCCCCCCCCCGCAGACTCCTCTCTCTCTCCACCCCAGACTCCTCTCCCCCCCCCCGCAGACTCCTCTCTCTCTCCACCCCAGACTCCTCTCTCTCCCCCCCAGACTCCTCTCTCTCCCCCCCAGACTCCTCTCTCGCCCCCCCCCAGACTCCTCTCTCCTCCCCCACAGACTCCTCTCTCGCCCCCCCAGACTCCTCTCTCGCCCCCCGCAGACTCCTCTCTCTCTCCCCCCCCAGACTCCTCTCTCGCCCCCCCCAGACTCCTCTCTCCGCCCCCCCCAGACTCCTCTCTCTCCCCCCCACAGACTCCTCTCTCGCCCCCCCAGACTCCTCTCTCTCCCCCCACAGACTCCTCTCTCTCCCCCCCAGACTGCTCTCTGTCCCCCCCAGACTCCTCTCCCCCCCAGACTCCTATCTCTCCCCCCCAGACTCCTCTCCCCCCCAGACTCCTCTCTCTCCCCCCCAGACTCCTTCCCCCCCAGACTCCTTCCCCCCCAGACTCCTATCTCTCCCCCCCAGACTCCTCTCCCCCCCCATACTCCTCTCTCCTCCCCCCCAGACTCCTACCCCCCCAGACTCCTCTCCCCCCCAGACTCCTCTCCTCCCCCAGACTCCTCTACTTTCTCTGTGTTTATGTCCTTCTTGCTGACTCGTCGGAGGAAAATGACTTTACCGCTGATACAGGTTTTGTTTTTTCCATTTATGTTTTGAGGTTGGACTTTTAGCAGGTATAACACATAGGGCAGCAATTGGTGTCACCTTGTTAGTCAGTATGTCAGTATGTGTTACACCTGTGCTGGCCCAGGTGATATTTAAGAGTGGCTGGCCCAGTGCTCCAGTTATCTTGAGAGACGTGGAGGGTCAACACCTTTAGTTGGCGCTCCCTATTTGATTTCTAGAAAAAACATTCCTTTGTCTGATTTCCCTGATTGCCTTTTGCTCCACTGTGTGGTTTGCTTCCTGTCTTTCAGTTTGGTGTGGGGTTTTATTCTGTTTGCCTCTTCTTGGGGGTTTTAGTGGGTCTCATGGTGGGTGTGTTGTGAGTTTGGTGTGGGGTTTTATTCTGTTTGCCTCTTCTTGGGGGTTGTAGTGGGTCTCATGGTGTGTTGTGTTCCAGTTGTTGTTGCTAGTCAACTTTCAGTGGACACCCTAATGAGTGTCTTTCAGAACCCCTCCTAGAACCCCACCTGTTTCGTGTTGGTTGTTGTCTGTAACAGGGTTAGGAGGAGGAGGAGGAGGAGGAGGAGGTGGAGGAGGTGGAAGAGGAGGAGGAAGAGGAGGAGGGGGAGATGGAGAGGAGGAGGAGGAGGAAGGAGGATGAGGAGAGAGGAGGAGCGGTGTAGGAGGAGGAAGGAGGATGAGGAAATGACTTTATTTCTAGAGAGTTTATGAGGATGATGATAGGAGGAGGAGGAATAAGGAAGAGGAGGAGGATAAATTACTTTCTGCTATAGAGGTTTGATGAGGATGAGAAAGGAGGTAGAGAGGAGAGGAGGAGGAGGAGAAATTACTTTACTGCTAAGAGGGTTAGGAGGAGGAGGAGGAGGAGGAGGAGGAGGAGGAGGAGGAGGAAATGACTTTACTGCTAGAGAGGTTAGGACTAGGAAGAGGAGGAGGAGGAATTACTTTACTGCTAAGAGGGTTAGGGGGAGAAGGAGGATGTGAGAGGAAGAGGAAGAGGAGAAGGAGAGGACATTACTACTGCTAAGTGTTGTAGGGAGGAGGATGGAGGAGGAATGAGGAGGAGGAAAGGACTTTTAGCTAGAGAGGTTAGGAGGAGGAGGAGGAGGTGTGGAGGAGGTATAGGAGGAAGGACTTTACTGCTAGGATTATAGGAGGAGGAGGAGGAGGAAGAGGAGGAGGAGAGATGAAATTAAACTTACTGCTGGAGAGGGTTAGGAGGAGGAGGAGGAGGAGGAAGTGAGAAGCATTACTTTTCTGCAACCCATTTTCTTTACCGACTTTCAGATAGAGGGAAAACCAAAACCAAAAGATATGATGCACTTTTAAGTTTGCAAATGGCCCCTTATTTCCTACATAGTGCACTACTTTTGGCCAGAGCCCTGTGAGTTCCTTGTGGGTCCCATGTAGGTTCCCTGTGGATCCCCTGTGAGTTCCCTGTGGGTTCCCTGTGGCTCCCCTGTGGTTTCCCTGTGGGTCCCCTGTGGGTTCCCTGTGGGTCCCCTGTGGGTTCCCTGTGGATCCCCTGTGAGTTCTCTGTGGGTTCCCTGTAGATCCCCTGTGAGTTCCCTGTGGGTTCCCTGTGGATCCCCTATGGGTCCCCTGTGGATCCCCTGTGAGTTCCTTGTGGGTCCCCTGTGGGTTCCCTGTGGATCCCCTGTGAGTTCCCTGTGGGTTCCATGTGGCTCCCCTGTGGGTCCCCTGTGGGTTCCCTGTGGGTTCCCTGTGGGTTCCCTGTGAGTTCCCTGTGGATCCCCTGTGGGTTCACTGTGGATCCCCTGTGAGTTCCCTTTGGATCCCCTGTGAGTTCCCTGTGGGTTCACTGTGGGTTCATTGTGGATCCCCTGTGGATCCCCTGTGAGTTCCCTGTGAGTTCCCTGTGAGTTCCCTGTGGATCCCCTGTGGATCCCCTGTGAGTTCCCTGTGGATCCCCTGTGAGTTCCCTGTGAGTTCCCTGTGAGTTCCCTGTGGATCCCCTGTGGATCCCCTGTGAGTTCCCTGTGGATCCCCTGTGAGTTCCCTGTGGATCCCCTGTGAGTTCCCTGTGGATCCCCTGTGGATCCCCTGTGAGTTCCCTGTGGGTTCCCTGTGTCAAACGTAGTGTACGATATAGAGAATATGGAGCCATTAGGGATGCAGTTATTGCTGTGAAAGAAGCTTAACTGGTTTCTTATATCTAAAATGAAATAACAGTTCAAATGAGGAGCCAACATTTTCAAATATCTGAAAAGCTCTTCTGGAAGCGTTAGATATGGAGAGGGCTGTTACATTTGATCATTTGAGACAGTGTCTATCTTTCTCAGTCATTTGGGATTGAGGCAAAAAGCTGGATCTACACTACATACGACATTGGACATGGACCTAACACCACTTTAAGGGCGATATTTCCCTCATCTAATCTAGTACGCAAACACGTATTGCACAAAGTAACCATAAACATTTTAATGGACAGGACACGGCAATTATTCATAAGTTAGCAGCAGGTCGGGAGCTATGGGTGCAAACACACCCCTCCCCACCCACCCACCCACACACCCTTCCCTCCCCACCCACCCAAAACACACCCCTCCCCCCCCACCCAAAACACATCCCTCCCTCCCCACCCAAAACACACCCCTCCCTCCCCACCCAAAACACACCCCTCCCTCCCCACCCAAAACACACACCCCTCCCTCCCCACCCAACCACCCACCCACCTGTAGGTAGTGAAATGTCCTCTCCTTCAGTTTGTTGTCCAGGGGTACCAAGGCCTTGTCATAACCCCCCCCTCCTCCTCCTCCTCCTCCTCCTCCTCCACCCCGGACAGACGATGGGTACACCTCTCTAGCCTGGCTGACCGTCATGGCCGACCACGTGCTCCTCTTCAGAGAGTGTTGCCCTGCCCCTCCATGGTGCCCTACCACTCCCCCTCCGCCACCCTCCCCCCCTGCCAGGGCCAGAGTGGTACAGGCCATGCACTCCCCCGGCCCGGGCCCTGGTGGTATACTCCCCTGCTTGGGCAGCTTCTTCATGGTCAGCTCCTGGATAGCGGCGTCCAGACTCTCGTGCCCCGTGGGGTAACCCCCCCCGCCCCCCCACCTCGACCACCTGGCCCGGTGTTGCCCCCGGTTACCAAGAAGCTGCTGTCACTATCCAGGTTGTCGTCGGAGCTCCACCACCCCGCCGTTCGGCTCCTGTGGCGCCGGCCGGAGGATTCGTGGCGCCCGTCCCCACTCTTGGAGCGCTCGCGGGACTTGCTGCGCCTCGCCGAGCGGGATTGGTGGCCCGAATAGTTATGGCCGCCCCCCTCCTCTCCTCCGCTCCTGGGCCCTCCTCCTCCTCCTCTTTCCCGGTGTTCCCCTCCTCCTCGTGTGCCATTGTATTCCCTCTTCGACGGCGCCTCGAGGGAGTGGGACTTGGCGAAGAGTTTCTGGACTGAGTGAACCAGGTGGCGGATACGGGAGGGGCTCTCGCTGCGCTGCTCCGCCCCGCTGGCCCTCCTCTGGTACTGCAGGGTGTGAAACCCGTCAGGGTGGAAGGGAAGCTTCTTCTCAAACTGATCCTGGTGGTTAGGAGGCATGCGGTGCATCTTACCCCCGTGACTCCCCACCGTTGACAGACACTCCTCACATGAGTCGTACGACTGCTGGGTCGGGGGGTGCTGGCTGGGGTGGGAGCGGGGGAACGTCCCCCCACCAGAGTGGGTGTGGGAGCAATGCTCCAGAGCTAGGGGTTCTGGTGGACCTCCGGGGGGGTAGTAGGGGTGCCCCGCCCCGTCGTAGTGTTCGGAGGGGTGGCGGTGGTACTCTCGGACGGAGCCAGGGCCCGGGCCGGGGTCACATTCTTCAGGCATGTAGTGGCAGGGTCCAGAGGGGGCGTGTGTGTGCCCCCCTCCCCCACCAGAAGAGTGCTGGGACAGCTGCGGCTGACGTGGTACCCCTCATGGAGGAGGCCGGGGGGGAGCGTGGTGGGGCCGGAGGGGGGGCGGGGGCGCGAGGGTGCGGGAAAGGCAGGAAAGAGGAAGAAAGGGAAAAGGAAGGGTTGAGGAAGGAAGAGGGTGAGAAGGGAAAATAATAGAGAGGGTGAGAGAAGAAGGAAAAGAGAATCAAGAATTGAAAAAACCATCCGAAAAGACGGGAAGACCCGAAAAAGAAGAAGGACTCGTTATTAAGCTTAAGGGAAAAAACCCTTTTTAAGGTGGAGAGACTTTACCATACAACTCCGGGAAAGGAGAGTCGACTTTGAGCCAAAGACTTAAACCCGGGGAAGGGCCCCCGCGGATTTGGGAACTTCCGGACTCCCCGATTTTTCCCCCCTTTTTTAAAAAAAACCCAAAGGGAAACCCCTTTGGTATAGACCCGGAAACAAAAGAACGGCGGGGGTGAAGGAAAGGGAAAGAGGAAGCTTGAAAAAAACCCCAAAAGATAATTACGATTTTTTAAACCGAAGACCAAAGGAAAAGGAAAGGGAAGGAAAAAGCCCCCAAAGGAGGGAACAGGAGGATAGGGAAATAAAGGACCAAAAAAAAAACGAGAAGGAGGGGGAGGGAAAGGGGGGGCAAACTTTTTGGGGGTTTTTGGGGGGGTCTCTATCCCTTTTTTTTTCCCCTTTCCCCCTTCTCCTCTTTTTCCACTTTGGCCTTTGGGGAACCCCCTTTTTTTTAAAAGGGGCAAAAAAAGCGGGCCTTGAAAATCCGCCGGGTTTAAGGCGTCGAACCCGAAAAAACCAAAATAAAGGGGTTTTTATATACCCCCAAAAACTTGAAAAAACCGGGGGGGGCCCCGGGGAAAAAAAAAAACCCCCCCGGGGGGGGGGGGAAAAAAACCCCCGAAAAACGAAACCCCGTAAAAAAAAAGGGGAAGGGGGGGGGAAAAAAAAGGGGTGTAAAAGGGGGGGGGGAGGGGAGGGGAAAAAAGGGGGGGGGGGGGGAAAAAGGGGGGGAAAAGAAAAAAAAGGTTTTAAAAGAGAGAGATTCGTAGATGACGATAGATGGAGCTCTAGTCTCGCTATCTCGCTATCTACTTCTCTCTCATATCTCTATCTGACATCTCTCTTCTCTCTCTCTCTCTCTCTCGATCTCTCTCTCTCTCTCTCTCTCTCTCTCTCTCTCTCTCTCATCATTATGGCCTTAAGGGAAACCACACCTTTTTTGTATAAGAGAAGGGAAAAACAGAATAAAGCATGAATGACACTTTGTAATCCAGATGCATGCCAGGATAGTAATGACAGTCAGCACACTCTGTAATCTAATCATCTTTAACAACGTACTCACATTACTTTTTATGATACTGCCACCAATATAACTTAGTTAAGAGTCCAAGGGGAGGGGCCTAGAGAGAAACCACTTTGGAAACAATAGTGGCGTTGTCACGATCGTCGAAGGAGGAGGACCAAGGCGCAGCGTGATATTCGTACATACTTATTTTATTAAGTGCACACAATAACCAAAACAACAAACGATAACGTGACGTCCTAGGTCTAACACAACCAACACGGAACAAGATCCCACAACTACTGTGGGAAAACAGCCTGACTAAATATGGTTCCCAATCAGAGACAACCAGCAACAGCTGACACTCGTTGCCTCTGAGTGAGAACCACTCTGGCCAACATAGAAATACAACAACTAGAATCTACAACACAGAACACAAACACATAGAATCTACACACCCTGGCTCAATATATAGAGTCCCCAGAGCCAGGGTGTGACAGGCGTGGAACTAAAAGACGTCATTCATGTACATAAAGAGGAGTGACTATGTATGTTGTGTCAGAATGAAACTGTATAAAAGGAGAGCTCCGAGTCAGGATGGGCAGTTGCTCCTTGGACCAGCCCGGCTTGTTACTTTGTAATAAAGTCTATACTGAATAACACAAGCTCCAGTGTCTGAGAGATATCTTTGAGAAAGTATTTCCACGACATTGACCAATAACCGACGAAACTTACAAACTTACAAATAACCGGCTTACAAACTTCGGCTTGCCTACAAAAAAATAGTACGCACAAACACGACCCTACTATGTTTTATATATAAATATATGTTTTACGAAGGTCATACCAAGGATCATTTTGCTATTTGATTTAAGTATTTAAAAAATATATATATATAAAAACATTATTTGATGAAAAAATATTTTTGCCATTACTGCTATAATCCCATACAAAAGCATTTATTAACAGATTCACTACATGGAACAACAGATAGTCCCCCCCAAAAAAAATCTAAAGGAAGTTAGTTCTGAAGTGTCTGTCCTAGAGGGGGTCCTAGAGCAAAACAACCGACATGTATGTGTGTTCGTGAGAGTGTCTCACCTTTCCGCATATTAGTGTGTAGCACAAACTGTTCAGAAGCTAGGGACAGAAGTTGGCAGATCGGCGTTAGACGAGTCCCAAGACGTTTGTGGGTGTCCTAGAGTAAAACGGAGAACACCATAATAGTTTGTAGGTCAAACCATTTGGAAGCTACAGACGATTTTCTGAGAAGACCGATTTTCGGGACGTCTCATGGTCTGACAAACACCGTTCTAGCTGCGGAAGTCTGACATAAGCGGATTGAGACGCATCCCAATGCAACAAAACATATCTCGGCTTAAACTGACAGATTTGTATGGGGATTTTGTTATTATGCTAATTAGATTTCCGCTGGGGCGTGGACATCAACCATATTTAATATGAATGAAGGGAGGGAGGGAGAGAGAGAGAGGTAGCGGAGGTCAATAGAACACCATTCACAAAAATCGAACCATATCAAACCATCTAAAGCCATTATAAGTTCCTCTACTACTGGGAGTGAAGACATCGGAAAGCAGAGGTGAGGGAAACACAGATGTTTAATCTAATGCCCATTTAATAGAAGTAACACTTGTACTATCCAAGTTATCTATCCAAGCTATCTGAACGTATTTCACAAAGGTCTTATCATGACTTAACACCTGGAAGAAAAATAGCAAAAATCTATAATTTGGATACAATCTTCTGTTTTTCCCATACTAAGGTCTGCATATGTGTGAACATGAGTGTCTGACTGTGTGTTTTGAGAGAGAGAGAGAGAGAGAGAGAGAAAGAGAGAGCGAGAGGGAGAGAGAGGGATAGAGAGAGAGAGAGGGATAGAGAGAGAGAGAGAGAGAGAGACAGAGAGAGAGAGAGAGAGAGAGTGAGAGAGACAGAGAGAGGGAGGCATAAAGGGATGGGGACAGGCGCTGAGCTAATCATTAAAAAGAGGGTGGCCTGTCCAGCCTTGATTGGTTGAATGAGTCACCACCCAGGAAGTGAGCAGAAATCCAGCCGTGTCATTGGTGGAGCACAGAGATCCAGCCGTGTCATTGGAGTAGCCTTGACGCCAGGCCTCTCATGACTAGGACCATACGGGGCTCACAGGCAGGAGTGTTACCTGGTCCTACTAGTGCTAAAGATGTTTTCATCAACAATGATGTGTGTACTATAAATTGTACTATAAATTGTGACTTCCTGTTTACTCTATTCTACTGATCCATTTACTTTATGTTTCCATTTCTTATCTTTTATTATTTCTTATTGTTGTTGCATTGTTGAGAACACACACATTTTTGTTCCTCTATCCTAGTGGTGACCTAAATTTGATTTCCATTCAAAATCCTATTTTCCCTAACATCTACCCCTTACCCTAATTCTAACCCTAACCCTAAACCTAACCCTTTTAGGTCCCCACAAGGATAGAAGAACCAACCCCAACATACAGTGAGGGAAAAAAGTATTTGATCCCCTGCTGATTTTGTATGTTTGCCCACTGACAAAGACATGATCAGTCTATAATGTTAATGGTAGGTTTTTTGACAGGTAGAGACAGAATAGCAACAACAAAATCCAGAAAAACGCATGTCAAAAATTTTATGAATTGATTTGCATTTTAATGAGGGAAATACGTATTTGACCCCTCTGCAAAACATGACTTAGTACTTGGTGGCAAAACCCTTGTTGGCAATTACATTTACATTTACATTTTAGTCATTTAGCAGACGCTCTTATCCAGAGCGACTTACAGTTAGTGCATACATTATTTATTTTTTATTTTTTTATACCCCCCGTGGGAAACGAACCCACAACCCTGGCGTTGCAAACGCCATGCTCTACGAACTGAGCTACATCCCCTGCCGGCCATTACCTCCCCTACCCTAGACGACGCTGGGCCAATTGTGCGCCGCCCCATGGGTCTCCCGGTCGCGGCTGGCTACGACAGAGCCTGGATTCGAACCAGGATCTCTAGTGGCACAGCTAACATTGCGATGCAGTGCCTTTGACCACTGCGCCACTCGGGAGTCACAGAGGTCAGACATTTCTTGTAGTTGGCCACCAGGTTTGCACACATCTCAGGAGGGATTTTGTTCCACTCCTCTTTGCAGATCATCTCCAAGTCATTAAGGTTTCGAGGCTGACGTTTGGCAACTCGAACCTTCAGCTCCCTCCACAGATTTTCTATGGGATTAAGGTCTGGAGACTGGCTAGGCCACTCCAGGACCTTAATGTGCTTCTTCTTGAGCCGCTCCTTTGTTGCCTTGGCCGTGTGTTTTGGGTCATTGTCATGCTGGAATACCCATCCACGACCCATTTTCAATGCCCTGGCTGAGGGAAGGAGGTTCTCACCCAAGATTTGACGGTACATGGCCCCGTCCATCGTCCCTTTGATGCGGTGAAGTTGTCCTGTCCCTTTAGCAGAAAAACACCCCCAAAGCATAATGTTTCCACCTCCATGTTTGACGGTGGGGATGGTGTTCTTGGGGTCATAGGCAGCATTCCTCCTCCTCCAAACACGGCGAGTTGAGTTGATGCCAAAGAGCTCCATTCTGGTCTCATCTGACCACAACACTTTCACCCAG